GATCTTCTAGAAGTTTCCATATTCAAAAAGTCCTATACAATGAATGAAAAAAGAGAGAAAGGCACACCACTGAATTTGAGGATACCTAGAAGAAAAAGAATCTTCTAAAAGCTTCAGCCTCCCACCAAAAACAATGCTAAGAGACAAGAAGTAGCAAGAGTGAGAGGTGGGCGTGAGTTGGAAATGGGGTAGGACTACTTTCCTAACCTTAAACAGGTGGTTTAAAATAAGGCAAATGTAAGCCTTACCAAAAGTAAAATGTTGTTGAAAAATGTTACTATGGAATAAGGAACTGGAAACAGTCTAACCTGGCAGCCTGACATTTTAACTGCTGTGGACCAGCGGTGACACACTTGCCTAGCATGGAGAAACCCATGTTGGATATTCAGTATCACAAAAAATAAATCTGGAGGCAGTCTTCACCATTTTTCAAAGCAGGAAAATGCTTATCACAGCCCTTTCTCAAATAAGAAAAAGAAGCCAACAGATCTCATTCATTTGAAAAAAGGCCTCCTGTGAGCAATACAGAATTATAAGCAAAAAGAAACAGAAACAAAAGGGGGGGAGGATATACTCTGCTAAACACACAAAGAGAAACAAAACACTCTAACAATATCTTTTATAAGAAAAAAATACAATGTGTCCTTGTCAAGAACCTAATACTTTTGAAGGCAGGGGGTAGTGCCCTCCTGTGATCCCAGCCCATGGAGGATTCCGGGGATTAGGCCAGCCTGGGCTACATAGGAAAACTGTCTCCAAAACAGGAAAGAAGAAAAGAAATATTATGCAAACAAACAATAAACTTGATACTTTTTCCCCCATTGAAACAAGGTTTCAAGTATCCCAAGCTGATCTGGAACTCACTTCTGAGCCTCCAGCCTCAACCTAAGTGCTGAAACAAAAGCATGCACCACCTCATGTTTGCGTTGGGGATGAAACCCAGGGCTTCATGCATGTAAACAAACACTCTACAAACTGAGCTGCCAAGTGTTTAAAATGACACACATGCTTAATTTGATTTCAGCATTGCACACTGTATACACCTGTGGAAATACCACAAGGTAAACTATAAATGTGTATACATTTTATGTACCATTTTTTTAAACCTTCCAAAAAGAAAGAATAGAAGGCCAAGAAGGCAGGGCAGAGGGCGGTGGTGGCACAGGCCTTTAATGCCTGCACTTGGGAGGCAGAGGCAGGCGCATCTCTGTGAATTCCAGACCAGCCTGGTCTACACAGCTAGTTCCAGGATGGCCAGGGCTAGAGAGAAACCCTATCTCAAGGTGAAAAATGAAAGAAAGAAAGAAAGAAAGAAAGAAAGAAAGAAAGAAAGGAAGGAAGGAAGGAAGGAAGGAAGGAAGGAAGGAAGGAAGGAAGGAAGGAAGGATAGAGTAGAAGCTCACTTGCCCAGTGCTTTTCTAGATATACAAAGTCTTGAATTCCACTTCCAGCACAATAAAACTACCTTGTCCCACCCAAAGAAGGAGAAACAAAATGAAATAAAATAAATAATTCAAGAAGTCACCCCAGAATTAAAAAGGAAAATTGGGGACTGGAGTTCAACAGTTAAGAGCACTGGCTGTTCTTCCTGAGGACCCAGGTTCTATTCCAAGCACCCACATGACGGCTTACAACCCAATCCCAGGAGATACAACACTCTCTTTTGGCCTCCAAGGGTACTGCATGTACGAGGTGCACATACATACATACATACATATATACATACATACATACATGTAAAAGACAGAAATAAAATAAAAAACAAAACCAGGCAGTGGTGGTGCATGCCTTTTGTCCCAGCACTCAAGAGGCAGAAGCAGGCGGATCTCTGTGAGTTTGAGGACAGCCCAGTATACAGAGCTAGTTCAAGGATAGACTCTAAAGCTACACAAAGAAACCCTGTCTCAAAAAACCAGAAACAAATCAAAAAATAAAAAATATGGGAAAAAGTTTAAGAGGTTGGTTGTAGGGACTTTCAGGTGACCTACATCAATTCATGAGAGTCAGGACAGACAAAAGATTCTAACAGCCCCTCTTGGGGCAGTTAAAGGTAAGGATCAAGAATCAGAAGTCAGGTGGTAGTGGTGCACCTGTTCTACAGAGTGAGTTCCAGGACAGCCAGGGCAACACACACACACACACACACACACACACACACACACACACACACACACACACACCAATCTTTAAGAACAAACAGCCAGGCGGTGGTGGCACACATCTTTAATCCCAGCACTCGGGAAGCAGAGGCAGGTGGATCTCTGTGAGTTCGAGACCAGCCTGGTCTACAAGACCTAGTCCCAGGACACACTCCAAAGCCACAGAGAAACCCTGTTTCGGGGGGGAAAAAAAAAAAAAAAAAAAGACTCAGAAGTCACGGCAATGGAGCAATGCCTCAAGATGTTTTAGAAACAATGAACCATCATCACAAACTCAAAAATTATGATTGTTTTTTTAAACAATGGTCTCAAGAATTCAATTTTCTACTCAGCTTTTCTTAAGCTGATAGGTGATCTCTACCGTGAGTGGGTAAGTCAAACCTGACAGTGATTCCTACCTGTGAGAGAAAAGCTGGAAGGGCCTTATGCAATGCCAAGGCCCCTCTTTAGACAACAAGCATCAGGCCACGCCTGCCACAGGGTGGCACGAAGGCCAACCAAGTAGGTCAGTGGCCCCGAGGGATGAGTTAAGGTGAGTATGATGGTGAACCACTGTATTGGCTACATTGTGAGAGAAAGAAAGAGGAACCAGAGAAACAAAGTGGGTCAGCTTTGAGCATTTGTCCATTCCCATGGGCCCAGTATCACACAGCCTATCATGGCTATGAAAAATGTGTGGAAACAAACGTGTGTATTAGGAGAGTAGAAATAAAAGCCAAGATTAAAAAAAACACAAAAACAAACTGGGGAGAAGTATCAATTAGTGTCAACATAGGTATATGGAAGTAAATACCAGCCAAGTGTGATGACGCTCGCCTGTGGGCTAAGTTACTCAGGAAACTGGGGCAGGAGGATGGCCTAAGCCTAGGAATTTGAGGCCAACCTGGGTACCACAGTAAGACCTCGCCCCAAAATAAGAACACAAATAAAGAGTGGATGGGCTTGGTAGCACAGGCCTATAATACCAGCTACTCATTCTGGAGACTAAAACAGAAGAATCATAAACTTGAGGCCAGCCTGAGCTACAGAGGACATTCAAGGCCAGTGTGGCTTAGTGAGGCCCTATCTCAAAACAAAAGATACAAAGAGCTAGGGATGTAGTTTGGTGGTAGAATATTTGCCTAGCCTGCCCAAGGTCCCAAATTCAATCTTCAATACCACAAAAGGGAAAAAGCAGAGGTGCTAGAAGCAGGTTACCTAAAAAGTAGGCAGCTACTGGCAGGTGTCATGACTTGGTAATAAGCTTCACAGATCTACAAAATTCTTTATGCAAAAAAAGCCTTATAGCCAGGCAGTGGTGGCCCAAGCCTTTAATCCCAACACTTGGGAGGCAGAGGCAGGCAGATCTCTGAGTTTGGGGCCAGCCTGGTGTACAGAGTAAGTTACAGGACAGCCAGGTCTACACAAAGAAACTCTGTCTTAAAAAAAAAAAAAAAAAGTGGCTTGCAGTAAAACTAAGGCAAATGTATTTTGGAGGAATGCAAATCAGTGGCTCACCAGGAACATTTCTCATATTGATATTGCAGGGGCCATGCAAAAGAACAGGTGATGGAGAATCCAAAGCAGGACACATCTTCTATATTCCATAATGCCTACATACCAAAAACTTTAGCAGGGATTTAGCGAATCTTTGAGGACTCAGTATCTCCATGGAAACCCAAATAATCATGAAATCGGGTCACTCCTAAGCAGGCAAGCCTGGGCACCAAACGCACTAAACTGCTGTCAACAGTTTTCATATTGCACACACAGATAGCAGGTAACCTCATCAAAATACAGAGGGAAAAAAGAAAAACCTGTTACTCATTCCGATAAAATAAACCTCATAGTTAGCAAGGGCTCAGTTTGCACCGGAATAACTGGGAGACATGCTCCTAGCACCCCCAGCCCCACACCCGCCCCGAAACCCCCTGCCACTCTAATTTCTAACCACATCACAGAAGCATCAGGACTGGTTGTCACAAGCGACCCGATGACGATGACAAGGGGGCAGTCCCACCATGCAGGAACTGAGAATAGGCAAACAGGGCAACCAAGAGCAAAGCAACCGGATCCTTTCAGACTCTGACCATAGAATTGCAAGCTCCTACGTCTTTGTTTACAAAACTGAAATTAAAAACAATGGCCCAATCTTACAAATATTTGAAGGTCGGGTGAGAAAAATATATATTTCTGGGCGAGTGACTGAGTAATAACTTTTTTTTATCACTAGACTCTCATAAGATCTCGAAGAGTGATCTCCAGTTGTGCTAAAGCACAGCCCTGAGCCCAGGCCACCCTCCAGGCCTCTCTGCTGATAGACTCACGCTGCAACCGCGGGAAAAGTGACTCACAGCCTTACCATGATGTGCGGCTGGCACCAGCGTATACAAAGAGGGTTCGTCCACAAACACACGCACACCATTCAAAAGAAACAGCGCAGCCAGACCAAGGAGCTCACACAGACAACCATGACCCCATTTTGCCAGCTCCAGGGGTTCTTAACTTCGCGGGTCATCTTTGGAATGAAAGCTCCTCTCGGGAAGAGGGATGCACAGAAACAGATCCGCCATCTGGTGGATCCAGGACTCACTGAGCAGGCCACTGCCTTGCGACCAAGGATCCCTGTCCCGGGAATAGGATGGGGTGGAGAGGGTGGGCACTTAGAGATAGATCGATCATAAAGGCTCCGCCAAGAGTCACTAAATTAGGGAAATCAGGGGTGGGAGAGCGGACACGCGGCCCGCATCTTCCCCTCTTAGTTCAGCAAGCGGATTTTGTCAACCCCAACCAACTAAAACAAAACAGGAAGCGCCTGCCGGTCAGCAATTCAGTCATCGGAGTGACCCGCCGTGTCCGTACCTGGTAGCACTGTGTCTTGCTCCTCCGCGTCCCCAACCTCCGCGCCCCGCAGCTCTGCGCCGCGCTCCCCCACAGTCTGCTCCTCCTCCCGCTCGGAGGGAGCCGAGGGCGCGGGACTGGGTGAAGCCGAGCTGTCTGAGGGGCTGTCAGGGCCCCAGGTGTCCCAGAGCCAGGGCGCGTGCGCCTGCTCCAGTAGCCGGCGGCCCAGGCGGTAGCGCAGCAGCTCGCGGTAGCATGGCGCATACTCGTCCCAGCGCGGCTCCCGGTAGCGCTTCATGTACTCGCTCTTCACCCCACTGCCCGGGGACATGGTGTCGATC